TATATATATATATATATATGAAACTAACAAATAAAAAATACAAAAGAATCGATTAACTGGTTAAATAATATCACCAAAAGTGAAAAAAAACTGTTCTTTTCTGTTAACAGAAAAACGCAAACAGAAACACAACCACGCAGACGCGCATACGCGAAATCATAAACATACACGTGAGGGTAAGTGTGTGGGTACATGTTTGTATGTATGCGTAAATACGTGCATACCCATGTGCACACACTTAAACACACACCAGCACAAACATATATACAAACACAAAAATCCAACCATAACCTAAATTAAATGGTCCAAAGAATAGCAATAATCCAGAGATCAACGGAGGAAGTGAGGAAAGAATTAAAGAGCGAGAGGAGATGTAAGCTAAAACTTTCCTTTATATGCCCTCACACTGGCCTAGAATGTACTTTCGAAATTTGTAATTTTAGTGTCGTTCAAAGCCGATTTCTTTCTTAAATGCATCAATAAAATAAATATATGGGTAAAGAGTCGTATTTGATCAAAAATAAAGTATTGTTTCCCTCACTTCTGATGAAACGTCGAACTATCGACTCCCTGTACCGCTTTAGTAAGTATCTGATCCACTACCTTTATAAGAAGCAGATCAGACCGAAAATGGAGTATTGTTGTCATAATTGGGCGGGTGCTGCCCTGTCCTCACCTTTCCAGTGTTTATAGGACTCAAAAGCGTCTCCGAATCCTTGTTGACGAAGAAAAGTTTTCCACCGTCAAACCTATCTCTCACGGGCGGGGTGTGGCGAATCTCTCACTGCCTTATCGACATTTCCATGGAAGGTGCTCGAACGAACTACATTCCTTACTTCCACCCAGGTCTAATCTTCAAATTCCTTTCGTATTCAATCGGCGAGAAGTAAGTTCCAAAGCAGAACACTGCGAAACACTGCTCTATGGAACAGACTCCCAAGTGAATGTTTCCCCGATTACTGCAATATTAACCTGTATAAGCGTTATCTTCCTCTCCTATCTATATGAACTAAACCATAACGTAATCCTCTATCTCGAGTGGCTCCGGGCTTTGTACAGGGTGAACCATACTGTAAATAAAATCTGGTCTAGAGTAGCTCACTTCCCAGTTTCAAGCCTTAATAGAATTCAGATTGTTTACGCATAATTGTAGAGATGCCTTATTCGCCACTCTTCAACCCTGTTTTCTGCAGACGTCACGTCACAAGCCTATGGTTACTCTCTTATTATTTGAATAGAACTGGTTCAGATATGCTCTATTCTTGAAAACCACTGTTAAGAGCTTTACAACTAAGACATGCAATGCCACTTCTAAGGAGTCGAATCAACCTTGTTTCTAAAGTGTTCTTAAAGTAGGATTAATCTTTCGTTCAAACAGTATTTTTCAAAGAAATACTTCCAGGATGCTTTCCCAACGACATTAACCATAACCTTCTGAAGCCATTTTCCATAGTTATCTTCATAATTTTCATTTCCTACCAACTTCTATCTATATCAAACACTTCATTCAGTTTTACTTTGACTCTAGCCTGAGTGATTCTTACGCATTGTATTAGGTGAAATTTATTATAAAAGGATTAAAGTGTCTACATTATTTTATAGTAGAAATGCAACTGCAAAATTGTTTAATAATATCATTTGTTGATGTTATGTGCCGTGTTCTCTGACTTTTTTCACCTTTTAATGCTTTAAAAATCAAAAGGCCTTTCTTATATGTCATAACAAATTTAATTCTATAGCTACAAATCTTAGATGACACATATAGATATACAGAAACAATACAATTACAAAACTGTTTGAGATTAGTCTATTTTTATTTTTTGTTACGGTACGGTACGATCTTGTTTTCTTGGAATATTTCCACTTCTGATGATTAAAAAGAAAAAATGCCGAATTCCTTCTCATGGGCAATAATCGAAGTAATTGGCTGCACAAAATCCTTGATTACTCATGCAGAAAACACAACCGGTGTAATTACAAAATGAATTTTCCCGCGATTTATGACAGTACGGATAAACACACACAGACACACACACAGACACACACACGCACACAAACACACACGCACGCGTGCATACACACACATGCGCGCGCGCACGCACACAGAAATACACACACAGACACTCATGCATATCACACACATGCGCACGTAGTTGTCAATAATTTTAATTTAAATTGAAAATTATCGATTGTTTTTCCTCGCAGAAAACCTTGCATCGTCATTATTCCCCTTTTGGCACAGGATATATATATATATATATATATATATATATATATATATATATATATATATATATATATATAGTGTTAATTACCGAAAACAATCTTGTTCAATATTTCTATAAATATTTAATATAATAGCTACATGTGAATATTTATTTACTTCAAATCTATCTATATCTCTGTCTATCTATCTATCTATCTATCTATCTATCTATATATATATATATATATATATACACACACACATACACACATATATATATATAGAGAGAGAGACAGATAGATAGATAGATAGATAGATAGATAGATAGATAGATAGATAGATAGATAGATAGATAGATTTGAAGTAAATATATATTCACATGTAGCTATTATATTAAATATTTATCGAAAATATTGAACAAGATTGTTTTCGGTAATTAATAAATATATATAATTATATTTATAATTTTTTAAAATATTTATTTATTTGTTTTATTTTTCTTCTGAACCTTCATTATGTTTTGCTACTACCACTACTGCTACTACTACTACTATTATTATTATTATTATTATTATTATTATTAATTATGAATTAATTAAATTTTTAGCAATTTTTCTTTGCTATACATAAATGGACTTATGTTGCCAGTAGGCTATAAGTGTTGATTTCAATCATAGTTATGAATGATTATTTATTGTTTTGCTAGTACACAATTGTCACACAAGGCCGTAAATTGAGTAAGGCTGGTCAACACTAACTATCCTAAACATAACTGATCTGATTCATCAATTCATTTATAACCATTCAGTCTTACATGCACAACAATACCAAATATTCACACGGAATCTACAAAACACCTCATGACATATAAATTTGAAAAGTTCAAAAATGTCTATTTTTTCTTTTTATCAATAAAATATATATAAAAATGTTCATGAACCCCAAAACAAATTAAAATAAAAAAAACATTTAAACTAAAAATTACAATTGTTAGTAGGACCCGTCTAACCCTCAAAATAATAAGAGCGGCCGCTGTATTCTACCTATAAAAAGAATCAAGAAGTACACACAGTAATGTAGTGGGAAGAAAATATAAATGACTGACCTAGGCGACAAAACAAACACCATTGACTCCCCATACAATAGTCTACTAAGCAATGAAAGGTCACTCGACCGAAGAATGACCCCACTCTCTGAAGAATCTCTATTGGTTCCGGGGCTTACGATGGTGGGTTGAGTGACGGTAAGGCTAGGAAGGGCATTCCTACCATTCCCGTCCAAATTCGTTTAAGAACAAGCGAAGGAAAGCCTATCTCGAGGTCTTCTGATGGCACATAAAGTTCCCAGCTCTCATGACATGGGCTTTTGGCAACGACTTCTCTGCAGGCGTGATGCTTGCGCCCAAAACCACAAGGGGACAACAAGCCTTCGAGCACATTCTTACGGCCCTTCCAGATGAAGTATAGTCTTTTGGCAAAGGATAAAAGGAAAGACGTAAGTGGCTCACGCCTCTGCTCTACCCTTCAAGGACAACGGCCCACGAAGCCAAGACCGGACCGCCACTCCTACATTTGCTTGTACTTCGGAACAATACGTGGAAACCTTGAGAGCGATTCAACATAGGGCCGGACTGCATGCCTTGTTCCTTAGCCGGCGAAAATGGGCTCCAACGCCAAAGCGTAAAATAGGGGCAACAGCGGATAACCCTGGCCGAGCGATTGTGACAGCGCAAAAGCGCGCGACCGATTCCCGTTCACCTGCACCACAGCACCAGGGGAGCGATACAGGAGGCTGATCCACGTGAAGAAGTCGGATTTGACTCCGGTGCCCCGCAGCACAGCAGCCAGGTACTGATGGTCGGCCGTGTTGAAAACTTTGAACTAACTCAAATTGATCAGCAGGACTTGATCTTCTGCACCCTCTAGGATCGGGCGGATCAGATGCAGTTTGTTCTGAATTGTTCGTCCGTTCACAGCACACGTTTCCTAGAGTTTTAATAAACTCTTGGCAACTGACTGCATACGATGCATCAGAATAATGGGCCAAATATTTATATCTGTGTTTAGTAGAGTTATGGGTCAATAATCATCTAAATCACGCCCACAACACTTGCTCTTTCTCAACAGCGTGATCACACCCTTGGAAATTCGGTCGGGGGACGAGCCCCTACTGGAACCAGTTATTGAGCACGAAAGCTAAAATCGGAACAAAGATATGCGACAGCCTCAAATACAATTCGTAGGACAGACCATCACGTCCCAGAGAATTGCTAATGCCGACCCTCTTCAATAGCAATTTGAACCTCACCCTTAATTCTCTTTCAAAAAAGAAAAAAGAAAACCAATAATAACTGGTAATCACTGCAATACATTCACGCTTACCTCTTATATAGAGAAGTCCACAAATGAAGAATGAAGACTGGAATATTTTTCTTAGCCAAAAGAAAAGGTCGTTTTACATTTTGACAGGATTCAATCAAGATCTGCCTTAAACAGAACACACATCATGACGTCAGCTTTTCTTACCTTTTGTGTGTAGGCACCATTTCGTAGAATATAAAATTACTATTTACTTCTCTATGAATTTCCTTTGCATATATTATATGTTTGCTTGCTTCTTTGATATTATTTCTTTTTTAACCTTTTTTTTTTTCATTGCAAACTTTGTTAATTGTGTTTATTGGATAGTTCTGTTATTTCTTTTTGCATTTGACCCTGGTTGCTAAATCATTAATAAATATTAACATATTGCAATGGACATTGTTTAATTTGTACATGATGATTGCTACAAGCAGGAAACTCAAAATTGCATCAAGCGCTAACGCATAAATGTATAGTTATTTACACTGTTTACCTTCGGGGTATTGTCCTCATCTTTGTTGATGTCATCACAGCGTTTCGGTGTTTGTTCCCTACGGTCTTCATCAAGTATATATATATATATATATATATATATATATATATATAGTTTATGCAAACTTAGGTAATCCGTATAGGTAGACCTGAGGAGGATGATATCCAGAGAGCTCAATGTAAAATTCAGAGCAGATGTGTTTGAATAAAAGACAGACCACGTTAAGATTCCATGTAATAAGCTATTTCACCATAACCCCTTTAACAGGGTTCTGGATCATCAGACTTTACTTCCACTTTACTGTTTTACTGTATCACAGCTCCTCAGTGCGACTAGACATATATATATATATATATATATATATATATATATATATATATATATATATATATATATATATATATATATATATGTCTAGTCGCACTTAGGGAGCTGTGATACATATATATATATATATATATATATATATATATATATATATATATATATGTGTGTATATCTAGTCGCACTGAGGAGCTGCGATACAGTAAAACAGTACTGTCTACAAATTTTGCTCTTGAAAATATATTTCAGTTGAGCACTATAAAGTGATAGGCTAATTCTATAAACAACACCCACCTGCACTAACGCAAAGCTCTTCAGTAAAATAAATGGAGAACTTTGGCTGATTGGGATTTGTTTACATTCGTAAAAACAATGTGCTAAATAGAGCTATGTAACTCTGCCAAGTGAAGATAGCACAGTGGTAGAAGCTCTCACTGACACCAAATCAGTTGGGTTTCGATCTTGGCTTGGGCGTTCGGGTGTGCTATATTTATGTATGTTATGTGTATGTTTTAGGCGACTGTTTTTGGTTAATTCTAGTGTTCGCCATTTCCTGGAGTCGATTTCAAGTCACGTTGAAATGACACCATTTAAACGATTAAAGTGAATTTTTTTATGCGTATTTGTATCATTTTTTTCATTTTTGTTTCATACACACTAAAATTTACGATTTTCGAGGGAGAAATATGAAAGAAAGATAAAAAACAATTCGATAGACAGAACTTGTTGGTACAGGTTTGAAGGAATTCTTGATGTCGAAATAGACATTATTTAATGCACGCACACACGCACGCGCGCACAAACACACACATGTATATATATACAATTAGATTAGTGGACATTTAGATATTAAACATTTTGTAGGATATATATATATATATATATATATATATATATATGTGTGTGTGTGTGTGTGTATGTCACACATTATGAAATGGACAAAGTCGGACAATTATTTTAAGACATTTTTATGTTTATACATTCTTTTTATAGATAAAAATATCTAAGTAAATGGTCTGTTTATAATAAACAGTATTAAACAACATTTACCGGCCTGACCGTCCAAGAAATATTCGTCCTCCGACAGGATTCGAACCTATATCCTATACGGAACAGTCAGTGAGCTTGACGTGCATTTACCGATTGTTTATTATAGACAGAGCATTTACTTAAATATTTGTATCTATAAAAAGAACGTATAAACGTAAAAATCTCTCTCTCTCTCTCTCTCTCTCTATCTATATATATATATATATATATATATATATATATATATATATATATATATATATATATATATATGAAGAAAAGGGAAACCTTCTTGGTTGTAAGGTGGATTTTATTTTAAATATATTATGCTTCATTTTCCATATGGAAAATGAAGCATAATATACTTTTTTGTTAAAAAAAATCCACATTACAACCAAAACGTATGCGTTTTCTCTCTTCTTATTAATATACTCCCTCTTCTCTCTTCCTTTTATTTATATATATATATATATATAGGTGTAAAAATTGTTGGAAAGATTCTGAACAAAAACTTACTGTAATGACTAAAACGAGGATTGAAAAAAAGGCACCTAATATTTAATATAGTAACATTTATTTATAATATATGAATTTTTATAGAGAAGAATTCAAACTGTATTACTTACAATTGGATTTTCAATATGTTTTCAGAGAAAAATAACTTGTTTTTTTTTTTTAAATAAAATTTTATAACTTTAACCGATTTCGCTTAGATTTTTAAAATGTTTTTAACTGCTTCTATCACGGCGTGTTGATTCTTATGTATGGTACCCTATGAATAAAATGAAAATCAATGGTTGTAAATGCCTATAATGTCTTTTATGATACGGGTAATTTGGTTGAATCTATTTATTAAATGAATTAAGTAAGAGTTTGATGATATTGTGGATGAAAAATATTTCCTTATTAATCCGCCTTTGTTCAGCGGTTCTGTAGTCGCATTGGTAGAATGGGAAGGCATTAAAATTTGGCAGTTTTTGCCGTCTGCATTCCTCTATATGCTGGTTAAGGTTGATTTGTCACCTGTTGGAGCTCCTAATTTGTTGGCGATGAACTGTCATGTTTTGCCGGTTGACTGGCCGGTTTGGCATTAATCTAAATTCGTTTATATATATATATATATTTATTAAAGACATTTTTATTTATGTTTAACGTTGTTATTTTATAGATACAAGTATTTAAGCAAATGCTCTGTTTATGATAAACAGTATTAAATAACATTTACCGGCCTGAATGTCCGAGAAATTTTCATAGAAAATATTCGTTCATAGACATTCAGGCCGGTAAATGTTATTTAATACTGTTTATCATAAACAGAGCATTTGCTTAAATACTTGTATCTATAAAATAACAACGTTAAACATAAATAAAAATGTCTTTAATAAATAAATTGTCGGACCTCGTCCATTTCTTAACATATATATATATATATATATATATATATATATATATATATATATATATATATGAAAGCAAATCAATATATATGTGGTTTAAAGAGTGAGCATAATTTTCTTTCATGCGATTTCTCAAATATTCAGGTCGGTAAAATAAAATCCATATAATAACTAACGGAGCGTCCACCTAAATATGAGTATCCACTAAAGAATAACGTTTAAAGTTATAAAAATCTGTCGGATTAGTAAATGAAAATCATTAGGATAATGCTGATAAGCTGATTCACATAATCGATAAATTTCTGAAGGTTAATATTTGTTCATATTTTATTATATTTTTCCGCCGAGTACTTTCGTTGATACATTCGTTTTAAAGGTTTGTTGTGTTTTGTTGTGTTTTACGTAACTATTTTTGGTTAATTCCGTCGTCCGCCATTTTCTGGAATCAATTTCATGTCACCCAAGGTGATGTCATTTAAATGCTCAAATGAGATTTTTTTTAAAGTATTTAATTTTTTTTAATTATTATATTCACTTCAATATACGAGACAGATACCTTATTTAGTGTTGGCTGTTATATATATATATATATATATATATATATATATATATATATATAAAATAAATGGAAAATTTGAAAAAAGTAATAAAAAACATCTTTAACTCACAGTTTATTAGACATAAATTACGTCCCTTAGCATTCTCCATAATTTACCTAGACCTTTCTGTTAACCTGATGAATATTTATCGACGTATCTTAACCCTTTGACCCCTGCCCACCGGCTTTACCGGGGGTAGAGAAAAATGATGTAATGCCTAGTATGGGACGAAACTCGTTTCCTTTTGTCCTTTTACAGATATATTTTAGTTAAATTTTTCAGACACACACACATACACAGGGTGAGATGGGTACATTTTCGCCATTTTATATATTAATTTCACGCATGCGCGTTGTTACTTTTTGTCGGCTGCACAATACAATAGGGACAGTTTAACACCGCCTGTAAGAAAAAAGAGCACCATGACACAATTCACTACGCCAGAAATTTGCGAAAGGTATGCTATACTGCTTGGCATTCGCATCGGAAGCTCCAATACGAACATTTCAGAGTGTTTGGTTGTTAATCTGAAGATCCTGCTGCGTATTGTGAACGAGTTGGATGAGTTTAATGATGATTATAAATTTACAGCTGATCGGAAAACTCAATCTGATCGTTCTGATGAGTAAGGAACTCCCGAATTTTTTGATAGCGGCTTAGACTCAAAACAGAGGCCTACATCAAGTGCCTTGAGGAGATCGTTCTGCACTGTGTCAAGAGGGTTTGGTGCTGGAAGACATTTAAGTCTGGCAACAGAACTCTGCACGTTGCATCACAAGCAGGAGAACCCAGTTATGGTTATCAGACAATTTCTGCGACCAGTCGCACCATAACGTCTGACCTCCTAACTCCACAGACTGCAACCCCCTTAGTTATTATATGTAGGGAGCAGTTGAGCAAGAGCCCGACAAAACTCCTTGCAATATCAAAAACGAAATGAAGGCAAGGATTATGGGAGCATTCCCCAACTTAAACAAGGGGACCGTCCAGAAGAGTTGCAGAGGATTCCGAAGTCGTCTGGAGGCCGTGGTTGATGCCAATGGCGATATTATTGAATAAATCTACTCTTTAGTATTTCAAGATATTTTTGTAACTTTGGTAATAGTAAATATTTCTGTTAAAATGAGATGTCAGTGTTATATTCATTTTTGCGCAATTTATACAACAATTTATCCATTGCACCGAATATATTTTCCTTCCCTTTTCCTGTTTCCCTGTGAGCTATAATCTCCAGCTATTCAAGTGTAATGTCAATCGACATCTCCAGTTGCCTTGATCTATCCACTACCCTCATCCTTTCTTTTATCACTCCTATCTGATCTTGCTATAAATTTTCTGTAACCCCTTGCATCCTAGTGGCTTCCCGCCTTGCTTGGGGAAATTAATTTATATATATATATATATATATATATATATATATATATATATATATATATATATATATTAACAAGTGATCGTGACCGGTGATTTGAGCTTACTGGCCTTGTCCAGAGTGTTGATCATGCGAGATAATGCGTTCTGAGTTTTACTCAGCATAGCTGCAGTATTCTGTAGATTTTGAAGAAAAACAAATCTACCTGAACAAGTGTCTGCAGTTAGAATTGACTAGCTGCTCAAGCAGAAAGGCACACACGAATACAAGAGGGCATTTTTGTTATTATGATACATCCAAACCCACAATCACACACACACATACATATACATACAAACATATATATATATATGTGTGTTTGTGTGTGTGTGCGTGTGCGTGCGTGTGTGTGTTTGTATTAATTTATTTATGCCTCGTGATAATTTCCGACAATTTAATTCTGTGGAAATTTATTTAATAATATTTTCTAAAAATACAAATAATTTCGGCTCATGTATTTCCTATTTTTCTTCTAATACATTTTTTTCACCGCATGATTTTTAATTTTCAATATTTTCTTTCTTTTTTCGTCCCCCCTACACAAATATATACATATATATATATATATATATATATATAGAGAGAGAGAGAGAGAGAGAGGGAGAGAGAGGGAGAGAGAGAGGGAGAGAGAGAGAGAGAGAGAGAGAGAGAGAGAGAGAGAAGAGAGAAAGAAAAACATACACTAATGTTCTCAGTCCGTCTCCAAATGTGTCCAAAACGAAACAGAAAAATAAAACAGAAAAAAAATAACGCTAAAGTTGTTACAATTGATAAAATTTTGATATGTGATCCGGAACAAGAATCTGTCAGAACAATCTATCTATCTATCTATCTATCTATCTATCTATATATATATATATATATATATATATATATATATATATATATATATATATATATATATATATGTATGTATGTATATGAGGTACATTCATTATATTTACGTACCTTAGTTCTCAATAATTTTAATTTAATAAAATTATGGATTGTTTTTCCCCACGGGAAACCTTCTTTCGTCATTATTTCCTTATCTTGGCGCTGGGAATACACACACACACACACACACACACACACACACACACACATATATATATATATATATATATATATGTGTGTGTGTGTGTGCACCCTTCTCTCGGTTCTTACTTCTCCGCGTGTATTTCCTTGCTTCGCGGTTTACATCATTTTAAAAGAATATTAAAAATTATTTGTCTATAATTTAAGCAAATTGAATTAATTTCCACCATCAAAAAATACATTTTAAACAAATACACAAACGTTTGCTTATAAAATTAAACGAACGTAGCTAATTGGGCAACATCAATTTTAATGCACACATATGCACAAGAATGCAATGCACACAAACACAAACACTCATGCACCTTATACACACACATACACACAGACACATATAAACACTCTCTCTCTCTCTCACACACACACACACACACATATATATATATATATATATATATATATATATATATATATATATATATATATATATATGCGTATGCGTGTGTCTGTAAGGGAATTTGTATCGGCACAGTTACAGAGATATACACAAACTAAATTCAATTTTGGAATGTGGTTCATACTTGCGTATTAGGAGATGCGATCAATAAGTAAACCACCTGACATCTTGTTATGTATGGGCTTCTTTTTGCTGTACCATTTTCTTTCTGTTATTCTCAGTTGTTATTTAATCCATTGGATTAAGAGCATTGACAAGAAACGAGATTAAGTCGACAAATCTTGTTATTTACATTATTTGGACTGTTATCCTCATTGACACATTCACAACTTTTCTGCCTTAGTAAGCTCAGGCCTTCTTCAGGTGATTGGAATTTCGAACCGAACACTTTATTTCGACCACCGGTTTAGATTTTACCTATTGTTAGAAAAAAGCATTATTATTATTATTATTTTATATCCTTTGATTATTATTATTATTTTTATTTTCTTTGATTTCTGGCGTTTACACATTTCTTTCCGGGTCCCGCCCAGGGACTTAAGGTTAGAAATGGCGTCATGACACTTTCCACTGACAGAAAAAACAAATTAAATGACATAGATAAAGCCCTTGTTAAGGTGTGGGCTGTACTTGTCAGAACAATTTTTGTATCTCCTTAAGCCATGGACTTCCAGGAATCCCTTCAATTAGTCTACTGCAATCTTTTCCAACCAGTCCTAGAGCTCCAACTACATCAGGGATTGGTGATGTTCCCATATGCCACATTTTCGAGATTTCTATTTCAAGGTCCTTGTACTTTGACAACTTTTTGAATATCTTCAAAGATACATTGCAGTCAGCAGGGACTGCTATATCAATAAGGAGACACCGTTTTTGTTTGTAGTTTTTAATAACAATATCTGGCCGGTTGGCCTTGATTGTTCTGTCAGTGTGTATTGTGTAGTCCCATAGAATTGTAACAAGTCCTATCTCCGTAACCGGGTCTGGGTGGTGTTCATAGCAGTTTCTTTCAGTTTCCTTTTCGTAGAAGTTGCAAATTTTCCAGTGCAGATATTGGCCCACTCTGTCATGTCGGGTTTTATATTCAGTGGGTGCCAACACCGTGCAACCTGATACAAGATGATCAATCGTTTCTGGATATTTATCACAGAATCTGCATTTTGGGCTGACACAATATTTTAGTATATGTGCTTGATAATTCCTAGTTAACAAGCATTGGTCCTGTGCAGCAAGGATAAAACCTTCAGTTTCCGCTTTCAACCCTGCACTACGTAGCCACTGGTGGGTACGGGTTTTGTCTACGTCAGCTTGTTTGGTACGGGCAGAGTATTGGCCATGAAGCGGTTTATCTTGCCATCGCTTCTGTATCTGGTCGGTTGCATTCGTCTTTGCTGTCTTTTTTAGGTATTTTGCAGTTTCAGCCGGTGTATTGTGCTTTAGTTGCATCTCTACGCCCATTTGAAACTCCATTTTGAATTTGTTGGCTTCTTTCATTACGGAGTAAAGACGCTTACTACGTTCATGTTCCTTGACGCATACCATCATCCAGTTTTCTGTAGTTTTCAAATATCTTTGGAGGCCAATTGTTGTAGTTTTGTAGGACAGTTCTAGTTGAACTAATCCTCTGCCTCCTTCGGATCTAGGCACATACAGACGATCAACATCATCTTTGGGATTATGCATGCGATAGCAAGTGAGAAGCTTTCTCGTTTTGGCGTCCATTCGCTTAATTTCAGCTATGGTCCAGTTAAGGACATTAAGGCTGTATTGCACCACAGGGACAGCCAATGTGTTTATGGCTGATATCCTGTTTTTTGAGTTTAGCTCAGTATTTAGTACCAGACATACACGCCTGTAGTACTCTTTTCTTATTTTTTCCTTCATTTGGGGATATTGTATGCCATCTCCTTCGTTAATTCCTAGGTACTTATTATTATTATTATTATTTTATATATTTTGATTGTTATTATTATTATTATTATTATTATTATTTTATATACTTTGGTTTCTTGTGTAAACTCATTTCTTTCCTGGTCCCAACCAGAGACTTAAGGTCAGAAACCTCATCTTGATATTTTCTTCTGATTATTTAAAAAACGAACAAACAAGAAAAACAAAAAAAAAAAAAACCCTTAAGATCACCCACAACATAGATAAAGCCTTTCGTAAGTTGTGAGCTGTAATTGTGAGAGTACAATATTATGTATTTCTTTAACGCTTGGGTTACCACGGATCGATTCCATGACTCCATGAATTTTTTCCAATCAAACCGGAAGCTCCAACTTCATCTGGAATTGTTGATAAACTAACATGCCACATTTTTTAGATTTCGAATTCAAGGCCCTTGAACTTTGATAGCTTTTTAACGATCTTCAAAGATACATAGACTGCCAATATGAAAGCATATTCTGTTTTTGTTGTCTCTGATCATGATGTCTGGGCGATTAGCTTCTGTTGTCCTCTCTGCGTGTATTGAAAAGTACCATAGTATTGTTACAAGACCGGCAACCTGGCCTGGATGGGGTTCATACCAATTTCTTGCAGTTTCTTTTTCGTAAAAGTTGCATATTTTCCAATGCTGATAATGGCCCACTCTGTGATGCCGAGTTTTATATTCAGTTGGTGGAAATACCGTGCAACGTGATGGTCAGTCGGTTCTGGATATTTATCACAGAATCTGCATTTGGGGTGAACGCAGTTTTTCAGTTCGTGATCTTGGTAATTTCTAGTTAGCAGACATTGGTCCTGTACAGAAAGAATAAAACCTTCGATTTCAGCTTTTAACCCTGTCCTGTGTAGCCACGGATGTGTACGGGGTTTCTCTACATCAGTTTGTTGGGTACGGGCAGAGTATTGGCCATGAAGAGGCTTATGTAGCTTTTGTCTCTGCATAAAGTACATTGCTTTTGCTTTCTCTTTTTTTCGGTTCTTTACCAACACAGTAGATTTATTATGATGTATTTTCACTTCTTCCTTCACTTGAATTTCTTTTTTGAATATGTTGGCTTCTTTTATTACTGAATACAGTTTCTTATTTCTTTCATGTTCTTTTACATAGATCTTCATCCAATCTTCTGTGGTTTCCAGATATCTTTGAAGACTGATTTTGTAAGACAGTTCTAGTTGAACTAATCCTCTACCTCCTTTGGATCTGGACACGTACAGACGATAAACATTAGTCTTAGAATGATGCATGCGGTAGCAAGTAAGAAGCTTTCTCGTTTTGACATTCATTCACTTAATGTCAAGTATGGTTCATTTAGGTAAGATGAAACTGTATTAAACCATAGGGACAGCCAAAGTGTTTATGGCTGACATTCTTTTGTGACTTCAACTCGGCATTTAGCACCAGATGCACACGTCTGTAATATTCTTTTCTTTTTTTACTTTCTCCTTCATTTTCTCCTTCACTGACTCCTAGGTATTTATTGGGTTCTTCTTGTTTCAGTTCTCTAATGTTTGTGACAAATTATTGTTATCATAAATTGAGCACATTATTTACATTATTTGGACTATTGTCCTCATCTTTGTCGCCATATTTATCATAACGTTTCGGCCGTTGTACGCTCCGACCTTCTTCAGATGGTTGGAATGTCGAACTGAACCCTTTATTTCGCTCACTGGGGTAGACTGTTCTTGTTCCACGTGGCATGTTTAATGGATGTCGGTTATCAGTTATCTCCTGTTAATTTCTCTCTGAAAGTTCTCTACTGCCTTAACCGGGTATTGAACTCACACTCATTGGATCCTCTCACTGGATCTAACTAACGCCTTTATTCAATGTGCCATGTGTCTTTGAGGATCTTACTTTTTTTTAACCCTCTACCTTGAATGGCTCTTTGGCCTTATACAAGGTGAAAATTATTTTAAAATATTAATATTATTATTATTATTATTATTTTCTGATCTGACTCTTGTAAATATGTCTTTGGGGCGTTACAATGCAATTATTTTGGGAGTCTCTGCCACAAATCAGAGATTCTAAGGATGAAGCTCTCTGGGTGGAAATTCCTTCTTAACGGAGGAATAAATGAGAAAGATTGTACTCTGTGTACGTGACATGATGGGTATTAGATGTAAATCTCAGTTCTACCAGTTCAGACCTTTACATATTTATTCCTCAATAAAATAATGTAACGGGCTCATAGCAAGATTTCTTTTGTAGGAATGGTGTTGTAGTGCAGAAAATAATTCATCACCCACAA